TTTTTCTATAAATAATTTTCATTCTTTCTCTCATTTATTAATCAACAAATTAAAACTGAAAAATCAGTTTAAAATAACTGTAAACTAAACAAGTCAGTGAATACTTATACTCATAAACTATAATAATACAAAAAAGAAATAAATAATATGTATGCTATTTAAATTTTTTAATAAATCAATAAAAATATTTGATGCTATTCGAAAAGTCTTACTATACCAATAACATATCAATATCATTTTATATTCATATCACCGTCACAGGAGTCACATTCTAAAAATTATGTCAATTAAAACATATCAATATTAATATCATTTTCCATATACGTGCAGGGATATTTTAGTGTTTCCCCATTAGTACCATCAAGGGGTGACTCCATCATAGTTAATTATACACATACAAATAGTCAACATAAACATCTCATTCATGTATTTGTCGCATTCATTTTTCTCAACTATATAAAACATACACCAAATACATAAGAGTAAGTTGCTACAATATTTATAATAATATAATCGATGAAGAAAAATATCTTAATCAAAATAAAGCATGTGCATATGTCATCAACTGCAGAACATTGAGAAGAAACAAATTATTACTATAGATTAGAAGTACGAGTACTCACGTCGATTATAGAAGATTTGTTTGATATTAACTTGTATTAATTCTATCAATTATAACCTATAAAATATAAAATATTCAGTTATCACTTTTACTTAATTATGTTTTAATTTAATTTTGAATTTCTATTATATTACACAAATTTAATTAGCATTTAAATACTTTAAATTTTAAGCTTAATTATTGTAATCTAAATTTATATTAAATATTATTAATTCTTCAGAAATATGATTAAAATTAAGATCTTAACATTTCTTTAGTGCTTGAATCAAATACACTCAAGTTTAACGTTTAAATAATAAACTTATGATATATATAAACTTAACGATTAAACTCCCGAACTGAGGGACTTACACCAAAGGCCGCAACTAAGTGAGGGGAAGACATATATATATATATATATATATATATATATATAGTGTCTTTTTTGAAAGAATTGTACTCCTGTCTGAAAGGGGGTCCGTCTTTGAAAGAACACCACACACACACACACACACGTGTATTTATCCTCTGTTTCCTTAATTCCTTCAGTTTCACGCATCACTTGTTTCGTCGTGCCCGACGATGAAGGGTCTCACGCGCTTTGATTCCTTCGGCTTCGACTTCGTTGTCTTCCTCATTTTCCTGTCGTCGTAAGACTCTAGTCACTGTTACGAGGCAGGTGCTACTGTTTTTCGCACGTCGTCCATCCTCCTTCGGCACGTCACTGTTACGAGGCGAGTGCGACTGTTTCTCGCACGTTGTCCTTCCTCCAGCTTCGTCTTCCTTGGCTCTACTTTGAAGGGGTTTCCACTAATCCTCCTTCGACTTTTGCTCTTTCTTTCACTGCAACTTCATTGTTCCTAGCACCACACCTCCTTCTATTGGTCATGGCTTCGGACAGAACGTATGCTGCTGCCATTGCGGGTGTCCATGCCTCAGGTGCTCCTAAATCATGCACCTTCTCTCCTTGGTGGAGGACATCAAAAAACCTGTTAGGAAGAATGAGAAACCAACCATCTTTTTTATGGAAGCAGAATGTAATCAGCTTGCTTCCTCTTGTGGTTTGAATATGGTTGGGAAATTCTTGACCATCCTAAAATGGGGCTTATTTGTTAGGAATTTGAGCTTATGCATCTTATTGGGGAGTGAAAAATTGGACTTTTAGATGGATGACACATCCTTATTAAACTTAATAATGAAGAGGATTGCACACGTTTATTTGCTAGAAGATTAATCTGAATTGATTACAGAGCAATGAAAATTTTGAAATGGTCAGTGGATTTTGACCCATAGATGGAACCACCAATCATGCTAATCTGGATTCGCCTCCCTGGTCTGAAATTTCATTATTTTACTCAAGCAGTGTTGTACTCCATTGCCTCAACCTATGATAAGCCACTCGAAACGGACATTCCTACTTTTAGTCTTTTCCGTCCCTCTGAAGCCAGGGCATTTGTTGAAAGGGACATCATTTTAATCGCTTCTGTGAAAATTTGGTTAGACACAACACCATAAATATTGACAAAGGGTTGTGATTGAGCATTTCCTTTTGTATTGCTCGAATTGTTGTATGTTCAACCACTCCATTTCTCAATGTCACCATCTACACCCCATCTAATACCAACGAAGCAAAGTGCTCAGCTTGAGGCAACGATTCCCCCTCTTACTGATCTGCTCCAAGTTAGTGACACTATTGATCATCAGAAGGATACTTCTGAAGATGCCACTATCCTCACAGGTAATATGCCAACCATTCAATCTCCACACAATACTCATGATGTAGGTTCCTCGCCTCTTATGGAACCTATTTTTGTGGGGGCAGGGGAGACATTTCATACTTCACCTGCTCTAGAACATATCATTGATGTAATGGGTGGTAATATTTCTATTGCATTTCTACCGCCTCATCAGATTGAGCAAGTTGTTACTGTTAGTCAGACACATGGGGTTCATGATGTGCAACAGCCTACACCTGTCCGACAATCTTTTGACTAATATACTGATCAGATGAGCCAACATTCGGATGAGGAATGACAAGTTTATACATCCAGGAAGAAGAAGAAGAATGAAGGTCTACTACCAAACTTGATGGATGATATATTGATTGTTTCGGGTAATGACAACAAATGTAACAATTTGTTAACTGACTCTGGTCCTAGAACCAAAGATAGATGCACAACTAAATTGGATCATTCGCAAGATAACTGAATCTGCCAGTGTTGGCAGACTTTTGACTTACAATTTATATGTCTACATTTTAATCTTGGTTTTTGGGTATACATATATTTCCTACGTGTGTGTTGTATGCCGGGTGGTTAGGGTGACAATTTGGGCCCTTTCACCCAACCTATCTGTACCTTTCTTTTCAATAATATATTCGCCTATGGGCTTTCTAATATATATATATATATAGACACACACACACACACACACACACACACACACACACACACATATAGAATACTTAAAATGAAGCTTACCTTTATCCTCTGTTTCCGCACGCGATCCCTTTTCTTTCTGCTTAGGCGCTCGGCTAGGGCATGCAGTTCCTTCCTACCACTAGCTCGATTCAAATGCTTTGGCTCTTCCTTCTGTCTCTTCTTTTTCATCACTCAGTTAGGGCACGATCGGAGTCTTACGCATGCAAGGAAGCTCCTTCCGCACGATCGGAGTCTTACGCATGCAAGGAAGCTCCTCCTTCTCCTTCGACTCGACTTGACACAGTAGCACAAAGCTGCAATCCTTTTCTTCTACAGAGCACAAGATCTGCTGTGTCGTTTCTTCTCCCGCGTGGTCCTCTGCTCAACACTGACACTACGCTTGACGTCTCCCGTACCGCTTGACACAGGTAAGTAAATCTTACTTTGGCCTGTAGTTTTATAAACAAATTTGTCGTATAGTCTTCCGATCCCTTTGTTTCAAATTCACAACTTCTCGCTTTATCTCTCTCTGTTCGGTTTCTTCGTCTGGTTTCCTGACTTTCGCTTCCTCTTGTTCGACTCTCCGTTGCCTGATTCCTCGTTTATTCTTCTCTTCAGTTTTTTTTTGTCTGACTGTTCCTTTCCTCTTCCTCGGAGTGGTAGAACCATTACAAAGATGACTCTCTCTAGTCTTGTCTGCCATTACAGCTACACTAACCCTTTCACAGATTCATTTGTTTCGTATTTGGTCTCTATTGGTCTCTAAGTGTCAAATCTAAGTGTCAAACCACTCATCCACCTAAACATTCTCATCTCAGCAACACTTAACTTAGTTTTATGCTTCTCTTTTAAAGGCCAACATTCTGTGCCATAAAACATTTCAGCTCTCTCCATCATCTCATAAAATTTTCCTTTAAGTTTAAGTGGTACTTTTCTATCACACAATAGACCCGATGCATTCCTCAACTTCAATCATCCAACTTGAATTCTTCTAATAACATCCCATAAATACATCACCATTACTTTGAACAATAAACCCGAGATATCTAAAATATTCACATATTTTAATGATTTGATCACCCTACAACTCTATCACTAGATCTACTACTACTAAAATTACATTCCATGTATTCAGTTTTAGAACAATTCAAACAAAGACCTTTATACTTTACGATAGACCTCTATAATTCAAGTTTTTCCTTAACTCTTACTCTTATCTTATCCATAAGAAGGATATCATCAACGAAAAGCATACACCAAGGTACATCATCCTGTAAATGTCCAGTTAGAGCATCCATAACTAAAGCAAAAAGATACGGGCTTAATGCCGATCTCTGATGTAATCCAACTGAAATAGGAAACTACTTGGCCAATCCTCCTATTGGAACACAAGTAAAGCTCTAGTTTTGTTCAGCCACTGCTTAGTTTTATATTTAGTCTTTCCAATGACTTAGAAGTAATAGACAAGATTTAATTTTATTAGGCTATACATGACGACAGCTGGTTGTAACAACCATAACATCCCAGCACATCCCCTCATAACAGTCAACTGTCTTTTGTTAATTAAATATGTTAGTTATGCTTATGAGCTTTATTTTATTTTCTTACATATTTTCTCATGGATGGCCTGTTGAGCTACCCCTTTCAAAAAAGTAAAAGAAAGAAAAAAAGAAGAGAGAAAATACTAAGGCTTCACTCACGTAAGCTAATGCTTTCTAGTAAATTATGAATATCAACCAATTTAGACGAAAGGAAGTACTTATTATTGGCACAAAACCTTTGGGAGTCTGGTAACTTCTATCGATGCATGTCTATTGCACCCATGTTTTAAATGCTTTATTTAGTGTGCATCGGTTTATGTTTATATTTGCTTATTGTGCTTGTTTGCATGCTTGTTTGCGTGCTTGTTTGTGTTTCTTTCTCTGAAGATATGTTGGAGTGGAAAAAAACTGAATAAATTTCATATTTATCCTTTGCAGAACCCCAAGCAGGTTGTCGAAATCTCTACCTCCAGAGCTTGTTGGTGTTGTTCCTTTGATTGAAAGGTTCCAGGTATGCTTGAAAGTTTGATCTTCTTTTCTCTTGCATTCATCTTGGAAGTTGGAATTAATGTAGATATTATAGAAATTTGGCAGTTCTACATGAATTTCAATATCAATCTGGTGCCAATTTTTAGTAATATAAAACACAAATGAACAATTCCTTAATTATCCATCTTTGATATGGGATGCTGTCATGGATCATATACTTGGGGTTATCTCAGTTTGTTGGTGTAAAATTCTAAAACTGTTATATGATTATGATTGATTTTAAAATACCCTTAATAGAGGGCATTATAAATTGCTTTCTGTTATGAATGTAAGAAGTGGAATTGTCAAGCAAACTCGAGCCCAAGTTAAGTGCATACAGCGAGCTTGAACTCAACTTAACGGAAAAACAATTGGCTTGATAAGTTTCATTAGAGAAGGCTGCGGTGAAGTGAGTTAAATGTAGTTATTGGACTAGTGGCTAGAGCTTGGTGGAGGAAGCGACATTGTGAGTTGCTCGGGGGTTCATTGGAGGACACAATGTTTGGATTTGCAGCACGAGCTTGATAGAGGACTCAATAATGAGAGCTCACTAGATGATGCTATGATGAGAGTTCATTGGAGGATGTGATGATGGGAGCTCACTGAATGATGTAGTGATGGGAGCTCACTGAATGATGTAGTGATGGGAACTTATTAAATAACACAATGATAGGACCTTAATCTAACCTGACCTGATGAAACTTAACATAAAAGTGCTTAATATAATGGTTGAATTTAATTGAGTTGGCTTGCAAGCTAATATGCCAAGCTGAGTCAAGCTCGAACTCGAGCTTCTATGTTCTAGAAGCTATAATTTAAACTTTTGCTCAAGCTCATGACTCTATAAGCTTGACTTGCGAGATTTTTAATGATTTGAGTATGAGCTAGCTCAACTCGCTTTCATTCTTTGTGGAGTCAAGCTTTGATGTTCGCTTGTCAAGAAAAAGGAATATGAAATTATAGTGATTTTCGTGTCTATACTCATAACATTGCCTTTCTTGTTGATTATGGTTGATTAATGAGAACTTGTACATAGGCACACTTTCATGTGTTGGAAAGCTACCTTGGTCATCTAGACTTAGCAACGAAGGTGGAGGGTCCTCTCAATAATAAGCATTGAGAATGGTAGCCAAATAATCAAAACTATTTTTTTTTGGATCTTGCATTCTAAGGGCTTGCTATTATGGAAGACTCTGATGCTGTCGATGGCTTGGTGATGTGATTAACAAGGGACCAATAAAAAAGGAATTGATTTTAAAAATATTAAAATGCCTCAAAGTTGTTTTAGTATTCCTTAAAAATAAATTAATTTGTAAAAGCAAAATACCAAATTTATTATACAAACATATTTTATGCCATTTTAATTAATTTTGAAAAAAAGGATTCCAAATAGGATCTAATGGTTTATAAATTGCAAATTTTAATTTTTGTGATTGTCATTCTAAATTTGATTTCTTAAAACATTTAACATTAAATTTGTGTTTGCTTTTATTGTTTCATTGATCTTCATTGAAAAATCTTAGACCCTAAGATGTCCTACATCACGTACAAGAGTATATATACACATGTTTGGATGTAGACATAAGGGCTAGTTCAAATTCATCAGGCTAATTGACCAAATTAGAGTTAATAAGGCTAAATAGAATTATTTAGGGATATAATCAAGCTCATTAACATTTTTTAGCTATTAATTATGCTTCTTAGATGGTGAAATTATTTATTTGTGCTGTAATAATAGGATATGATGTGGAGAATACCTTTATGTTCTTGTTGATTGAAATATTTGCTGAAATCAAGATTTCTTCATCTTGATCAATTTTATTTTTCGTACAATTTGAGTTATCGATTGACACTAAATAGGACGCAATGGATAAAAAGGATTCATGTAGCAGACCCCACTTAGTAGGATAAAGGTTTTGTTGTTGTTATTGTACAATTTGAGTTATCGATACTTTTCTTTGTCTAATATCTTGTTCTTGATCAAACTTGTAACTCCTTGCTGTCTAACATGCTAATCTGGATTTTTTTGGATCAACACCATTAATGAAAACTCTGTTGCCCAATACAGAAACCATTTGTTGAGCCTTCTTGTTTGTACTACTTTCACCGCAAGCTTGTAGTAGTCGTACTCCCTGGTTGACATTAACATAGCTTTCAACAATCACTTCTCTTTTGATTCTGACGTAACAAAAAATACAACCTTCTTTTCCTTGATATCTTAATGAACTGAGCATTTTTATGCAATGCCACATGACGACACATAAGGCATAGTGGAAGTAGGTGGCCCAATTCATTGAATCTATCACCAACACTCATTATAATTCTAACCTCTAAAACAAAGTGAGTGATGAAGTCAGCCATCTGATTCAGACTAAAATTAATCATACAATATTATTTCTTATCAGTTGAGTAGAGGCATTCCAAACTATTTTAGGGTCTCTTTGGTCTGCTAAAAAAGGAATGCAATGTAAAAGGAACACAATGTGATTAAAATGTAATATATTTGAAATACTTTAAAGTTGTTTGGTTTGATGTGAAGTAAATGCATAAATTTTCATTGTTGTGTTGTCGGTCAACATTTTTTTTTGAAGGTTTGAAAATATGAATATGAAAATAATTTTTTGAAATTTAATTTAATATAATAGGTATATAGTTTGAGTTTTAAAAGTAGTATGTTTTAATTTGTGAAAAATGAGACAAAATGGATCTCATTAGTCCGATAGTTTGCATAATCGTGTCCGATACCGCGAATACTACACCCTCCCGAAAAATAAGTGTAGATCTCGGCGATAGATCCAATCCTGCAAACTAAGAGATTTGTGACATCTGTTTGGTCTGCGAACCTTTTATATATGACCAACAAGTTTCCCTATCTAATACAACGATTAAATAGAGTTTATTTTACCTGGGTTTCAAGTT